TGATGCACTGGGAGGGCAGGATGGGTGGGGTGGGGCGGGGCATGTTTATCACAAACAAAGGAAATGAAGCACAGAAAGGGTAGAGGGAGAATTTGAAATAGCACTACTGTATAACCTCGGACAGCTCCATGTCTAACAATGCTTGGGTAACTCTCAGATACTGCACCTATGGCAGGTGGAAAGCTGTTGTTACTTCCCCAACTTAGACCAAAATCTTGTAGGGGAAGCAACATCTTCTATTCTTCCTCTCAATTCTAGAGATGGCTTGATTTGATGATTTCACCTTGAGGTACCAAAGGCTGGCTTCTCAAAAAATGTAAATACCTGCTAGGTATCATACAAAAACTCCAGCTAATGTCATGACTAGCCAAATTATCTAAATGTTAGTCATGGTTCTATTTTTCAACTACTTTTTAATGTGCCATGAAAGAGAAAATGGCATTTTCTAGAACTAAATGTCTTCTCATTTCATTTGGAAAGATGGGTTCGAAGGCTGAGATTTAGCCTGGTGGAGGTCAGAGATGATTTCTTTAGTGACGGAAGCCACTACAAATCCTACCAATAAAAGGTGATCTTTGAAAATGAAAATCCGTCATTTATCAACCCAACCTCCCACCCCAACACATACACTTAAAACCCTTAACTAACGTCCCATTTCTCCTACAATAAAGACCCCAGTCCTACAAGTTCTCACCCACAGAATCTGGCCCCTAACTCAGTCTCCAGCCTCACTTCATTCCCCTTTCCTCTTTGCTCCCTATGGTCTTTCTCCTATAGCCACATTGGACTTCTTATGGTTCCTCAAATAAACCATGGTGCTTCCTGCCATAGGATCTCACATGTACTGTCCCCTCTGACTACAACTCTCCCACTCACACCTAGCTAACTACTGCTAATCTTCAGATTCCAGCTCAACCACCATCACTTCTTCAGGGAGACCTTCCCGGACCCCACACTCTACATCTAAGACAGGTTTCTCAGTGATCAGATCTCACAGAACAGCACTCCTTTCCTTCAGGTCTTCTATCTCATTGTCGCATTTAGAATTATACCCTCACACAATTACTTGACTCATTCCTTCTCCCCACTTAGATCACGGGCTTCAGGAAGACAGGAATAGTGTCTGGTTTTTCTCTCCATCCTATTTCTAGTTCCTAGCACAGTTCCTGACAGATAGTAAGCACCTAATTTGTTGAATAAATGGATAAATGAATGAGTGAATGAACGAAGAAAAGAAATTTCTGACTCTTTTTGTGGAGCTTGAAGTTTCATGGGGTTAAAACGTAGAAATGTTGAGCTAAAAACCCAACGCGGTTGGGCGAAAGATATATTTTGGCGGCAACTGTTACAGAGAGTTTCTCCCTAATCCCTGGCAAGGAGGAAAGGTGGGGGTGGGGAGGCAGCATCTAGCACCATCAGGAGTCCCAGCATACCTGCCGACCTCATCACAGAGGATGACAATCCCCAAGATCAGGCCTGAGAGTAAATGAAAATTATTCACTTCATCATCATGAGGAAATGCTGTGGACTTAGAGTTGGAGTATATTCTTGAATTGGGTATTTTTCTCCAGGACAAGTTTACTAGCTGGAATCCTTTTTTAAGGACCATTCTATTTAACCTTTGAAAATGAAGCATCTGTCTTTTAATGGAAAAGCTCCTTCTCATTGTAAAGATAGCTCAGAATGTTCTTGGCTTTTTTGGTCTCCAGAAAAGGAAAGTCAGATATCTCCCTGTGTCCTCACTGTATCTTGAACCTCTGTGTCAACAAAATAGGCCATATTAATAGCTAACTTTTTTTTTTTAGAATTACTTATTACGAAAAGTACCAGCCCATCCTGAGAAATATTAGGTAGGGCAGTCTACACAGATGTATCTACCCCTAAAGGAGTCATGGGAGGCTTAGGAAGCCAGAGATGGAAAGGCTCCAGAAAGCCAATCTCAAAGCCACTATGTTCAGAAAAGAGGCCAAGTTTACCATGCATTGAAAAGTTCTATTCCACAGAAAACATCCAAAAGAAGGGTAATTAGCTAATCAATTTATTAATCTGATATTCTTATTTGGCATAGCCCCTGCTGTGTCACAGTGAAGAGAGGTCCCCTTCTTAAGCATACTATAACTCAACAAAAGAAGTAAGATCTAGAAGAACTAAGATGTTGGTAAACAGGCCAAAGCACAGCAAGGGTGTCAGCAAGTTCAGACACCCCATAGGCAATAGCACTAATGTCCACTGAGCATTTACTCTATGCCAAGTGCTCTAAATGTGTATTCTCATTAAATCTTCACAAGCTAGGAGATGGATATGACCCTCTCCTTAGAAAAGCTGAGTAACATACCCAAGGTTGTAAACTTCAAAAGCAGTTTCAAGCTTCGTTCTATCTGATTCCAAAGTCCATGCTTCTAGGCTCTGAGTCCCTGAGGCTTCCAGAATTCAGGAAGGCAAGGCTTGATGAGGGACAGGGACAGGGTTCTGAGCTAGGCCTTAGACGGGCACAACTCTGAGATAGGACAGAGAAGGAGAAGTGTCAGTGCATGGAACTGTGGTGGAGTGAGGGTGTAGAGAGAAGACAGAGAAGAAAGGGAAAAGAGAACAGAGCAAGGCCAGTTGCTTGGATACAGCCATCTTGTGGGGAGGGATGAGTGAAGACACCTGCCTCGTAGGCCATAACAACTTGCCCCACCCTTCTCCTTTCCAATAAAATATTATATTCCTACACAGAAAGACTTGAAGAAGGAACTGGAAGAAGTGGTGAGTGGAAGAGGAATCTTGTCTTCCCTTTGCTCTTTCTGCCTCTCTGCTCTCTCTGAGTGCATTATCCCAAGCACTCCACCCAGCCGGCCCAAAGTCCATGCCACAAACTTCTTGAGTCCTACATCCCAAGAAGGGTAGCATCTTCACGTGAGCTCATCAGATAAAGCCTGGCTGGTTCCAAATAGAACTGGAACACCACTCCCCTACTGACTATGGGCTCTCAACCAGAGGGGTTGAAGGCGTGTGGGGTAGGCTGTGGTTACTCTCCCCAGTGAATAGGCAGCCTTCCAAGGAAAGTTGCTCCAGTTCGGTGGCACGAGTAGAGTTTTGTGCTTAAGCCTTACTACCACTAGGCACACATCGTCTTACACAGACATACATTCACTATCCAGCCATTTGTTCATTCACTCGTTCAATAGGGAATTATTGAATGGCAATTTCAAGCCGAAGACTGTGCCTGGTGTTGGGGGAGACAAGGTCAAACACTATGTGGCCCCTAACCTCAGGAGCTGTATACTTTGTTATTGTTGGTGGTGCCCTTCCTCATGGACATGGTCAGGCAGTAGTAACTATAATGAACATTAGGATAAAGAGAAGCTCAGCAGGCTCTGTGGGACTCCAACTGCTCACACTGCAAGCGGCTTGCCTAGTTCATTTCTGTACCTCCAATGCCCATCACTATGCCTGACACACAGTTCATTAACTTTTAGTGAATTAAATGAAGAACTTACTGAGCCTGATTCCCAGCTCTTTCTGTGGCTTCTATCCATTGCTTTAAGCCTGGCATCCTAAGCCTTACCTAAGGATACATGGCGTTCTTCAAGTAGATCACAGTATGTTTGAGTTGGGAGAAACTGGACAGATTTGTCTGTATCACCTCCATTCCCTCCCAGACATCACGTCCCTGTAGTTGAGGTCCTTCATGAACCACCTGGAACTTCATGCTTTCCTAAGTCCTCCTGATCCCGGATACTCTCCTAAGAATATGCAAAGTTTGTCAACGTCCCAATAAAAACTCGGGAATCCAGACCTTGATACAGAACTGTGACAGCTTCAGCTGGCTGATGGCAGGGGTCCACCTCCTCCTTTGAAATAACGGGCTGTGGAAACAGAAATCTTGGCTTCTGATTGGGGTCTTCCAACACCACTAGGGTCTCCCGTGGGGTCTGGGGCTGCAGGGAGGCAGAGCCATTTGGGGAAAGGTGAGAAATGGGGTGGAGAGGTCCTCTGAGGAGGTTGAGCCATGACTCTGCATTTGAAGGATAGTGATCCTTGAGGTATAGGCATGTGAGCTGACAGGAAAAGGAAGGGGTAACTAGGAGGCTTGAGGCAACTGTCCCCTCAAGCAAGGCAGGCTAAGTAAGGTCCAGAAAGAGCCTAGCCAGGGTCCCAACTCTTCAGCCAGAAAGCACCTCAGAATCAATTCAGAGTGGTCTTGGGACATGCACAAAGCCCTTCAGTTGAGTAGTAGCAGAATGGGGTTAGAATCAGGTCTCCTGATTTCCACCCTGGAGTTTTTTTTTCTCCTCACCCTGCTGTCTCCTAGATATGGATCTCATGTCAGAGTTCTTGGCCTGTCACATCCTAGAAATCTCCTTCACAGAGGACTCCTTCTCAGGCAGAGCAAGGCTTTTCTCATTCTGATGGGTGGCCTTTTTAACCCTCCAATGCCAACTGTCTCCTTGTCTCTCTCCATCCCCTTCCTGGGAAAGATCTCATGGGGTCTTCAGTGGCCACATGATGGGCAGCCTGGGTCCCTGCCCAGCAGCAAACCTAGGGACAGTGGGCATATATCTTGGCATCTAGGCATGCTGACCCTTTTCTCCAGAGAGGTCAGCGTGTGGGGAGAAGGGAGTGGAATTCAGTGACTTCTAGCGCCTTAAGAATTCCTGCTCTCCCCCTCAGTCTGACCCTCACTCTGCGGGCCTGGGCCACAACAATGCCCACAAGCAGGGCAGTGAGAAAGGGAGGGAGACCTGGGTTTGCCCGTTTTCTTGGCCAGGCACCAGGAGCAAGAGCCCGGCCCACCTCTTCCCCGCGCCGGCCATCTCCACTTGCTCCTATCCCCCTCTCCCCCGCCTGTCCCTCCGGGCTGCTCAGGCGCCACCACTACTGTCCCCAACCCGCCCCGCCAGCCCGGGCAAAAAGCGTGACTCACAGCGCTGCCACCAGCCCACGGCTTGCCCGCGGCGTATAAAGGCTGCCCGGTGGGAGGCGGCGAGCCCTGCCCGGCCCGAGGTGCGCAGAGCATGGCCAGGGGCGCGGAGCGAGGCCGCGGGGGCTCCGGCTGGGGGCTGCGGGGCGCGCTGGCGGCGGTGGCGCTTCTGTCAGCGCTCAATGCTGCGGGCACCGTGTTCGCGCTGTGTCAGTGGCGCGGGCTGAGCGCAGCCGTGCGGGCGCTGGAGGCTCAGCGCGGCCGGGAGCAGCGCGAGGACAGTGCGGTGCGCTCCTTCCTGGCTGAGTTGAGTCGCGCGCGGCGAAGGGCGCCCGCGCCACCCCCGGACCCCGCCAGCGCCGCGCGCAACAAGCGCAGCCACAACGGGGAGCCCGCGCCACACATCCGCGCCGAGAGCCACGACATGCTGATGATGATGACCTACTCCATGGTGCCGGTAGGCGGGGGCTCGGCTCCGCGTGGCGCCTCCGCCAGGGTGGGCGGTGGGCAGTGTGGGGAGAGAGGCCCCGACGCCCTGAGCTCGCTCCCCTGGCTAGACGGCGACGTGCTGCGAGAGAGGGCCCTGGGTGTGAGCCCGGCTGGGGAGGTCACCCCGGCAGGCAACTTAGCCCTTCCGTTTTCTCCTCTGTTAAATGGGGGAGGGCGTGAAGGGCTGTCTTCCACCTCTGACATCTTTGGGTCTGCAGGTAAACAAGGGGTGCAGGCAGTGTTTAAGAGAGACTGCTTTCCTTCCTAACTCTGGATTAAAGTTTTCACCATCTGAGGTGAAGGGAGCCACAGCGGCCCTGGGCTTTGCCTGTGAGACTCGCTGGAGCCCCCCTGAGAGCACAGGGAAGACATTTCTGGGAGCACAGACATCTTCAATAAAAGGGTTCTTTACCTGGCTTCAGCTAGTGGTCTGGCTTTTCACCTGGCCTCGGACCAGCCTCATGAGATTGGTTGAAGGGAAAACAACCAGCCCTAATTTTACCAGTCACCTGGAACCTTGGTGCTGAGAAAGTTGCTCTTGGGTCTAAAGCGGTTCCAAATGGGAGAGATCAAAATGGAGAAATTTTCTTAAAATCCTCTGTGATAGCTGAGATTCTCATGTGGGCTCCAGCAGGTCTATAGAACTCCAGAAATTACCAGTGTGCATTTAGGGGCCGTGCATCTGGGTAGAGTCCATGGCTTTTCATTAGATTTTCATTAGATTTGCACTCCCCCTAAAAGGTTTAAGAAACTCTGCTCTTAATGTCTTTAAAGCAAAACCTCAAAAATCTTTTTTTTTTCCAGTTTGAAGTTTCTTTGCTTTTGCTGATTTTTTTTTTTAAAGATTTTATTTATTTATTTGACAGAGAGATCACAAGCAGGCAGAGAGAGAGGAGGAAGCAGGCTCCCCTAGAGAGCAGAGAGCCCGATGCAGGGCTCGATCCCAGGACTCTGAGATCATGACCTGAGCCGAAGGCAGGGGCTTAACCCACTGAGCCACCCAGGCGCCCCGCTTTTGCTGATTTTTAACTCAATAATTATCTAACGATTACATTTAGATCACATGGCCTTTCCCAATTCTGTTTCATTATCCATTACGACTGCACTGGTCTTATTTCATTTTACAACTACAAAGATTTCAGTTCTGGCACCCCAAGTCAAGTGTGAGCCATACTTGGGAATCCTAGGGATTTGAAGATAAACTCATTTAAAGCTTCTGCATCAGAAAAGCTTTTAAGTATCTCATATGAGTTGAAATGCTTTTACAACTACATGATGGAAGTACTAGATACTGCAAATACATCTTTTGAGAGAGATCAAATTTTCCATTAGTGGCTTCATTTTTTTTTTCTCATCCATGTTATAATTTTTTTAAAAAAAATTAAATTAGACGTCTGATATATATATTTTTTTATTTGACAGAGAGAGACACAGCGAGAGAGGGAACACAAGCAAGGGGGAACAGGAGAGGGAAAAACAGGCTCCCCACCAAGCAGGGAGCCCGATGCAGGGCTTGATCCCAGGACCCCCGGATCATGACCTGAGGTGAAGGCAGACGCTTAACGACTGAGCCACCCAGGTGCCCCCAAGCAAAAAAAAATTTAAAAGACCTCTGTAAAGTGAAGAAATCTCCTTTCAGGGCATTAACTCTTTCTCTTGACTCTCTACCATGCATTTTGAGGATTTTTTGAAACCCTTCAAGAAGGATGCATCTGAGCATCAACATTTTATATTTTTAATCCTGCTTTTAAGGTAGAAGCTTGTGTATTAAAGCTTATTCAGTCACTAACCCAAGAGAACAAAGATCCATTTCTGTCTCAATCTGAGAGCTAGATTTAACTATCACCACCTGCTCTGTTAGAGGTCGGAGAGCAGAAACATCACATTTGTTGGGCTGAGAGGCATTCATAGGTTATCACCAGCTCATCCCCCATTGTAATGGGTATGCTTTGAGGGAATTTCCATGCTGGTTGGGAGAGAGTAGCTGTCTTCTTGCCGGTTGTTCTCAAGTTCTCAAGCAGTAGGGGAGGGGGTCACCTGGAAACACACTGAAACACAGATTCCACGGTCCCACCCTCGAACTTATAAAATGATCATCTCCAGAATTGTCTTCCTTAGTAAGTATGCGATTCCCCATTCTCCTACCTTCCCAGCCCCTCGGTGAGTTAGATACAGGTGATTCCAGGTGCCACTCTGAGAAAGCTCTAGATCACTACTTCTCTACTGTAATAAGCAGGTGAATACCTTGACAATCTTGTTCAAATGCAGATTCTGACTCAGAAGATCTAATTTCCAGCTTGAGATTCTGCATTTCTCATACGCTCCCACTGACACCAATGTTGCTGTTTTGAGGACCTCACTTTGAACAGCATGGTTCAAGAGTGATGGTTGCACACTGAAATCACATAGGGAGCTTTCAAAATGACTGATACCTAGATCCCACTACCAGAAATTCTGAGTTAACTGTTAGAGGTGCAGTCTGGCATGCCTGGACATTGACAAGCCTTCCTGCTGACAGTGAACAACATTGAGCATCTTGCTCCCACCACGTCTCTTTGAGGCCTCTGTCTGCTTCAAGCAGAGGTACCCATTTTATTGCTGAAAGCCTTTTACTTTATTCTAGCATCATTCACCTTGGCACATTTTTCTCATTTTTACTCCCTGTTTTTTTCCTCAAAATACAGAATTATTCACATGAGGAAACAATGTTTTAAAGGGTACTTTCAGGCCTGCCTAGGTGGCTAATTCAGCTAAGCATCTGCCTTTGGCACAGCTCATGATCCCAGGGTCCTGGGATCAAGTCCTGCTTCTCCCTCTTCTTCTCCCTCTGCCACTGCTTGTGTGCACTCACTGTGTAGCTTTGTGTATTATGTTGACTTCGGAACCATGTGATTATGTTACTCTAATTGTGAGTGAAAAGGCCATAATCACAAAATTACATGGGTGCTGCCCCTGGACTGGGGGGTAATAAGGCATGGTGGAGACTCTGCCAGCCTAAAGTTTGCGCTCTTTCTAAAGGAGAGGGGGGGCGGGCTCTCCCTGGTTGTTCCTGTATAAAAGCAAGAGCTCAGTGTGTCTGATCTTTTGATTTTTTTTGAAGTGAAAAAATCTGACTTTTTATGTGAAATCTCTTGGCTTTGAAATATTGACCAAAAAATTCCAAAGAATTGTTTTTAACTGGCTGAGCGTGTTGGCCAAACAACACTCACATTGTTAGGGGCCATGTTAGGACTACCAAGCTTAGTTCCCAGCAGTCTCATCTTATAATCATGCATGGTTTTGAACAGAAATGGCCTTACTTAGCTCCACCACGTCCCCCTCCCCCACGGAGTTCTCACCCTGGTTCTGCAAGGGTACTAGTAACTGTGCCATTGTTATTGTTGGTTGAGTGGAGCTAGGTTTCTTTGTGTGTTTAGTTTGGTCCGGGTTTTGTTTAGTTTTTTGGCTGTTTCTAAAAATCAACCCCATCTTCAGTGGATGGAGATTTCCCAGCACTGTGGCTTTTTCAAAAGCCTGTGGTCCAGTTCTGAGGATAGTTCTCAAGGAAGAAATGCCAGCTGTCTTGAGCTGTCTAACGCAGTATTGTAACAAACAGAGCTTTTCATGATGAATGTAATGAATGTAATGAATTACATGGATCTATACATTATCTTGTCTATGGGGTGGAAATCATGTTACCTATAGCCACAGGTCCTGCTTGCAGAGATGCTAGCTCCCTGAAAGGCCTAAATTGGCTGTGTCAGGGTTTACCTCCCTTTCCTACCTCTTGGAGTCAGTCACCTCCAGATGGTGTAAAAGCTGAGGATTCAGACCAGGGGACAGTAGACTGTGCCCTATAGCCAAGTCAGGCCTGCCACCTGCAAGCCCACAAAGTAAGAATGATTTTTTTACACCTTTAAAGGGTTAAAAAACCAAAAGAAGAAGAATATTTTGTGACATACAAACATTATTTATGTGAAATTCAAATTTCAGTCATCATAAATAAGGTTTTGTTGGAATACAGCTATGCCCGTTTGTTCACATATCGTCTGTGACTACTTTCACACAACAACAGCAGAACTGAGTAGCTGCAGCAGAAACCATATGGCCCACAAAGCCTAAAATATTTTCTTTTTGGCCCTTTATAGAAAAAGCTTGCCAACTCCTCGTTAGACTGTCATCCATCAGAGTGGGGATGACACTGGGGGTTGTTCCTTTGGAGAACCTAAGCAATGAAATCAGGGTTGTTCTAGGATTGGGTTAACCCTGGGGTTTTTTTAATTTAGTTTTTTTGTGTTTTGTTTTGTTTTTTTAGCTTAGGGTAAAATTTAGTGATTCATAGTTGCATATAACACTATAACACCAAGGCTCATGAGATACATCACATGCCCTCCTTAATGCCCATCACCTATTTAGCCCAACCTCCCACCCACCTTCCCTCCAGCAACCCCCAGTTTGTTTCCTAGAGTTAAGAGTCTCTTACAGTGTGCCTCCCTTTCTGTTTTTATCTTATTTTATTTTCCTGTCCCTTCCCCTAATGTTTATCTATTTGTTTCTTAAATCCCACATGAGAATGAAATCATACAGTATTTGCCTTTCTCTGATTGACTTACTTTGCTTAGCATAATACCCCCTAGTTCCACCAACGTCATTGAAAATGCTTTGCAACTTTTGATGGTTACATAATTTTTGATGGTTACATAATATTCCAGTGTGTGTGTGTGTGTGTGTGTGAGAGAGAGAGAGAGAGAGAGAGAGAGAGAGAGATCTTCTTTTTGCATTCAACTGTTGATGGACATCTGGGCTCTATCCATAATTTGGCTATTGTAGACATTGCTGCTATAAACACTGGGGTGCAGGTACCCCTTTGGATCACTACATTAGTATCTTTAGGGTAAATACCCAGAAGTGCAATTGCTGGGTCTTAGAGTAGCTCTATTTTCAAGTTTTTGAGGAACCTCCATGCTGTTTTCCAGAGTGACTGTATTA